GAATATAAAAAAAACTGCGAAGTTAACGCATAACTTGCCTGTAAACATCTTGCCTCCAATTATTGAAACGAACTTGATGTCATTTTTCCATGTAGGGCCTTGGGCGTTCCGTGTATACTGATACCTCTCACTTCAGGAGACTCGTCTGGCTCTTCATCTTCCTCCTCACAACAGGTCACATGATATACTTAATCATCGATGCCGTGAATAGTTACATGTCCGGACCGAAGACGACCACGATGGAGGTGAGATAACCTCAACGGCTCACTAGCCTCTTCATTCTCAAGAGAACGAGTTGAATACGAGTGGGGAATTTTCCTTTTAAGATGAATACGGAGAGGGTCCTCCCCTTCCCGGCAGTCACCATATGTTCCTACAGTCCTCTGTGGAAGAGCCTCGATGATGATTCGACTCTGTCCAACTTCAAGAAACTGCTGAAACTCAACGAGGATCTCGAGGGAGCGCTTGCCAAACTTTCTCTACCACGTAGCGCATGCAGCCAGACATCCACTGGTTCGCTCTCGGCCGACACCGATTCGCCGTGCACAGCGCGCGTGGGCGAAGGGCAGAAGACCTGCATCAAACCATTTGATCTTTTGAACCGTAGGTTTACGATGCTCTTGGCTTAGCGGAGTATTTCACGGCTGATTTTTTGTGATATTCATTGCAAAACGGAATCTGTTGGCAATATTTTCTCAGGATCCAAAGAAGAAGCGAATGGATTCACAACAGATTCGAACTCGCACTCTGAGTCACCGACTACTGGTTTGTAATCTCGTACTTCATGCACGGCTCCAGAAACCCCTTTCGCGTTCGTTACAGACATAAGGAACAAACGGATTTCAGTCATCTTCTTGTGAAATCCCATCGACACTTGCTGACAAAGTCTTTCCTCCAGACCCACCTGTAGTAATAACGAGCATGGATTCTTCTTTCGACGCAAAACTCCGTCTTTTTAGCAGAAATTCTCTCCTTCAATTGCCTGTCTCAATTCACTAACTCTTTCGAGGTCAATCAAAGACTTCTGGGGGACCAATGAAATTCTGGTAACAGAATGAAATTCTGAAACGATGGTATTTCTCTCGATTCCGCAGAACCAATCTCAGCAACATCACCGCCACCATATTTCTCAGGATCTAAAGAAGAGTATAGACTCCCAACAGAATCGAACTCGTTCTCAGCAGACTACTCAGAGTCAGGGACTACTGGTATGTAAACTACTTCTTGCACGACTCCAGAAACCCCTTTCGCATTCGTTTCAGACCCGAAGACATAAGGAACAGATTACAGTTTTTTCTTGTGAAATTCAATCGACAATGACAAACTCGTTCCTCCAGACCCAACCATAGTAATAAGGAACATGGATTTTTCTTTCGAGTCAAAACGCCGCCTTTTTCAGAAATTCTCCCCTTTAATTGCCTGTCTCAATTCATAAACTCTTTCAAGGTCAATCAAAGACTTCTGGGGGACCAATGAAATTCTCTTCCATTAAGTTCTCCAAGTCCATTATCAAACGATGGTATTTCTCTCGATTCCGCAGAACCAATCTCAGCAACATCACCGCCTACTACTGCCGGAAGTTTAATTATATCCTCAACTATGTCTCCAACGATATCGCCAGGTACCCCGACGATGCCACCGCTCGACACCTCGTCTACGTCCTTTGATGAGACCGATATCTGGGAAAACTGGGTCTACGGCAGAGAGGAATATGACCATC